GCGCCCGCACGTGGTATTTTGTGGAAGAGCCACACTCAAGGGGCCAAAGAGCCGCATGTGGCTCTCGACTACTGCCCTGGGGGATGGAACGTGAAAATGAAGATATAAGGACATCCAGCCCTGAGCGAGGGACCAGCTCACTGCCCTTAAAGCCGAGGTCCCCCCCCTTCCCCCCAGCACCTGGGAACAGAGGCCCGAGGTTCCGCCGAAGATCACACAGCGCCTCGCTGGGAATCGGGGTGCCGGGACCAGCCCAAAAGGTTGCCTTTTCCTCCACGTCTCGGCAAAGCTACTCCAACCCCCACCCTTCCCTCAGCAGGGAAAGCATATATTCTTTCCGTATAGAGGAGGAATTGTTCCGCCAGTGACTAAGACTCTTGGCCTCGGAGCCTGGCCCAGCCCGGCACTCCGGGCAGGAAGCGGGCAGCGTCCCTTAGCGCCCTGGGAACCCGACGGGGCCGGCGGGACTCACCCTGGGGACAGCGGCCTTCGGATGGGGTGGGGGACAGTGGGGGGCGGGGCCTGAAGAGGTTGGGCAGGTCAGGGTCGAGAGGCCTGTCACCGAATAGGAGCGCCTTTCCCCATTCCGGCTGGGCTGGTAGAGGCGGGGAGGCTAAAGGGTTAGAGAGGAGCAGGCCATCTTTCCAAGCCCCTCGCTCTGTAGGCCTGAGTCAGAGGTGAGTCAGGTGTGCTCAGCCAGGCCGGGCTATATTTAGACTGTCATTTCCCCGTGTCGCTCCCCCGCCCCCATTCTTCCTGATGCCTTCAGAGTTAGGTGACAGGCGGTGATCCTGGGCCTTGGTCCATTCTGCCAAAGCCGCATGACCGTACGGGTCTCGGACTGGGGGACGCTGCTCTCAGCTGAGCCCTGCTGTTCCTCCCACCCCTTCTCCACCTGCTACAGATCCGGTGGAATGGGGCTGGGGCCGTGGTCGGCAAACTCCGGCTCGCGAGCCACATGCGGCAATTTGGCCCCTTGAGTGTGGCTCTTCCACAAAATACCACGTGCGGGCGCACGTACAGTGCGATTGCAACTTCATGGCCCATGCGCAGAAGTCGGTTTTTGGCCTGGGCGAGTCTATTTTGAAGAAATACTGTTGATATTTGGCTCTGTTGACTAATGAGTTTGCCGACCACTGGGCCGGGGGAGTGGGCAGGGAAGGCGTGAGGAGGCAAGGGCGCTGGGGCCGTTCCTAGGGTGAGGGGGAATGGGAGGGGCTCTGCGTCAGGGGAAAACGTTGCAGAAATCGGGGACATGTAAGCAGGCACCTGGGGGCAGAGATGAGAGACATGACAATGATCTGAAGATGGTGACAGGCCACCGTGTCGGCGTGGGCGTGGCTTTGTCCTGGGCGGGAGCTTCCAGCCCTGCGTGCATACGTCAGGACTCCCACCCTCGGAGGAGTGCTTGTGAGACAGTGAGCTCATTCTCTGCCATTGGACACTTCCAGGCCGAGGGTGGACGGCCCCCCAGCCGGAAGAGGTCAGGGGTCAGGGGTCAGGTGGACCAGAGCTTAGGTCTCCAAGTGGCCCGTGAGCCAGGCGCAGCCCTGAAGGTGTGCCCACTGGCCAGCGTGTCTGCCGGGCACACTCCCCTGGGGCTGAGTGCCCCCTGCCCAGCCCAGCGGGGTCAGGCGCTCACTCCCGGTTCTGCACAGCATTTAGGTCTCTGAGCCTTAGAGCTGAGGCCCCGGCCACACCACCTTTCTCCCCCTTCAGATTCCCACGGGCCCAGGTGAGACCACATGGCATGAACTGGGGTGCAGGCAGGTAGAGCTCCCGCCTGGCTGCAGGCCACCAGGGCACCCGTTTCCTCCCCCTCCTCATGCCGCCGTCATGCACAGGGGTCCACCATGGTCTCCAGGGAGACGCCACCAGAACAGCTTCGTCATTCACCGTGCTTTCCTGCCCAGGAGTGGAGCTAGGCCCCTGGGGTGTCTCGGGCCTGGGAAGGGCACCCCAGCAGATGCTCTGAGAATGGAGACACCCCTGGTCCAGCAGCTGTGGGTCTGAGGATGGGGGGGCGGTGGGGCTGGAGGCTGATCTGGGGAAGGCGAGTGGGGCAGCTAAAGGCCTTGGCTCTGCCTCCTCCCTGGGTGCCTGGGGCGGACCCTGATCGGCACTTTCCGGAACTGAGGGATGACGGATCGGGCACAAAGCCACCACTCACAAGCGTCACCTTCCCCTCCTCCATCCTTTGCAACCTTAGCGGATAGACTTTATTTCTGTTCGGACTGAGCTAGGTGAGTGGTCTCGAGGGGTGGCCCAGAGGCAGCTCTCTGCTTTTATGATGATGGGTAGTGGTGGGTGCTGCTTATGGGGCCCTACTGTGTGTGAGACCTCAAGTCTCCTCTCAGCCCATTTGATGGATGGGAACACTGAGCCCCTCAGAGGTGAGACAGGAGCCAGGTTGCCCTGACTCTAAAGCTGGTGATCTCTCTAGGGCACCCAGCGTCCGTGCTTTCTCTCCCCTGAGGGCATCCGAGCGCCACAGCCAGAACCAGGAAGTCGGGTTAGATTTCCTTGGGGAACCCCGGTTCATCTCTCCTTTCACGGAAGCCTGGGGCGGTGGAAAGAAACTTCCTGGGAGTTGGGGAGGCTGGGGCCACCTTGCAGGCCAGGCTGCATCACGGCCCAGCCCCTCTCTGGAGCAGCCCTCTGCCCATTTCTGCAGACACAGCCCCTCACACCTCACCACCCCTGGTGTCCCTCCTTGGGCTGGTTCTGCCTGCACCGCAGCCCGCCTGGCTGATAGACGGACCAAGGGCACCACCTGGTGGCCAGACCAGGAAGCTGCACCCGGCCACTTTGGAGGTTTACAAAAATCATACAACAGCAGAGGGCAGCAGAGAGCCCTGAGGACG